TCCGAGTATAGTTGATGCGTGTATCGGGGTCCGGCAGGGAGGTCCGACGAGCTCTTTATTGTTAATTATATATATTGATCATATGATAAAAATGATAGAGAGAGCAACTGATACAGACGGTTTCTTGGGTAACTTACATGGTATACTATTGATGGATGATGCTGTAATACTGTCAACAAATAGGGAGATGTGTAAAAAGAAACTCAGCATTGTATCACAATATTGTAAAGACTATGAAATGGTGATAAATGAAAAGAAAACTAATTTTTTTAGTTAACTGCCAAGAATGAGATAAACCTTGTCTGACGATAGAGGGACTTAATGTGGGCTATACACCCAGGTACTTGTACCTCGGGGCTTGGTTCACCGACTCGGGAAAATGGATACCTGTCGTGTACTGTCTTTGCACCAGACAGCAAGTGAGGCCACGGTCAATAAGTTTTCCATTTTTTGTGCAGCCAACACATCAAATGCCATTTGTATACAAGAAAAAAGTATTTGATACTACAGTAACGTCAACATTATTGTACGGTTCTGGGTCGTGGCTGACCAATAGCTAGAAAGGATTGGAAAGACAATATAATAAATTGGTGAAGTGCTTGTTAGGCGTGAGGAAAAACACGAGTATGAATCTGTGCATGATCGAGTCAGGTATTCCCCCAGTGCAAGACATTATAGCAAAGAGGAGATGCAAGTTTATGGAATCAAAACATGAGATAATGGACATGGAACAGCCTCTTCATTTTGTATATGCTTTATGTAGAATAGTAAATAGACCAGGATTTAGATTCATGGCGAGAGCAATTACCTTAGACTGTAACACAAACCCCTTAGACAGAGTGGCGAACCTGGTAATGGAGAGGTCAGCTGGCGCTACAAAATTTGCTACATACATATCCGATCTGAACCCTCTTATGACAGTGCATGAGGTATACTTAAGTAAGAAATTTATTCCGGATTTTCAGCGCGAGTCGTTCACCAGGCTGAGACTAATGTCACACAACCTCAAAATAGAGACAGGCAGGTGGAGTCGCACACCGGCAGAGTTGAGAGAATGTCAGTTCATGCGACGACAGTCATGTATAAAGTGAACGACATGTGCTGATTGATTGTCCCCTTTCTGCACATTGTCGTGAAAGGTATCATATGCTGACTTTCTCCAGTATCAGTGAACTCTTAAATGAAAATATAAATGTGCCTGAATTATGTAATTATGTACATGAGGTACGAGGAATCTATATCTAAGTTTAGAATTGCCCCTTACAGGTTACGTTTTGAATTAAAATATTTTGAATTCTATTGTATATATTTACCATGTATCTATACTTTTTTCAATAAACTACTAACTAACTATGTATGTCTGTAGACAGACAGGGACAAAAGGCGTAAAGAAACTTGCCCATTGCTTCATTCTGCCCGGGAATCGAACCCGGGTCCATTCGCTTGCGTGGCAAGCATACTTACCACCACACCACAGGTTGCCTCTATCCGCCTAGCAGTAATTGGGAATCTGGGTGTTACTCGATGCGGATCGTGTTCCGGGGTATGGTTAGCCAGTGCAGTTGGCGAGTTGTCCGGTCTTCTCGGACTATTCCTTGACACTGGCCGGCCATCCTCGTTACACGAGGGGTAACCATTATGTATGTATGATTGTATGTATGTACAGTATAGTATGTATGTATAATGGAAGCCCCTCAAAATCGAGGATGTCCGGCCCTAGGGCCACCTAGGCGTGAATTTGTTTAAGGTGTAGAAGCTGTCGCCAGCATAACAACCACACCCTGAGTTAACGAGTTGCTGTTCAGTTCTGGTGCCCCTATTATAGAATGGATATAAATTCACTAGAGTCGGTGCAGCGAAGAATGACAAAAATGATTCCGGGACTTAGAAACCTTCCATGTCAGGATAGGCTAAAGAAACTTAACTTGCATTCCCTAGAAAGACGAAGAGTGCGGGGAGATATGATAGAAGTATTTAAGTGGGTGAAAGGAATCAATAAAGGGGATATAGATAAAGTTCTTATAATATCCGAGCAGGATAGGACTTGTAGCAACGGATTCAAGTTGGATAAGTTTAGGTTTAGGAGGGAGATACGAAGAAACTGGTTCACAAATAGGGTGGTGGACGAGTGGAACAAGCTTAGCAACTTTGTAGTAAGTGCGGGAACTCTGGAAAGTTTCAAAAGGAGGCTAGATAGATTCATGGATGATAGAGAGTGGTAGTAACTCTCGACAGGAGCTGCCATGCATAGGCCAACCGGCCTATTGCAGACTCCTTATTTTCTTATGTTCTTATGTTCTTATTACCCAGTGTCAAGGAATAGTCCGAGAAGACCGGACAACTCGCCAACTGCACTGGCTAACCATTTCCCAGGATTAAGATCCGCAAATTGATTAACATCCAGGTCCCCAATTACTGCTGGGTAGATAAAGGCAAATGGCGTAAAGAAACTTGCCCATAGTTTCACCCTGCCCGAGGATCGAACTCGGGTCCGCTACTTGCGAGGCGAGCATTACATCATAGGTTGGAGGGAGGGGGAAGAGGGTGTATGTATGTATGTGCACACACGTCATCAGAAAGTAGGTCGAGCAGGACGTGAACGGACAGAACACAAACACCTGATTTATTCATCATTCTCACTACCTGAACTCCAGCAGTACTTGTTAGCTTTGTTTAGAAGGGAAAAAGCTTACGTATTGGATAATGGGGAAAGGGGGTGTGTGTGTGTGTATGTGTGTGTGTGTGTATGTGTATGTATGTGTGTGTGTATGTGTGTGTGTGTGTGTGAATGTGTGTGTGTGTGTGGTGTGTGTGTGTGTGTGTGTGTGAATGTGTGTGTGTGTGTGTGTGTGTGTGTGTGTGTGTGTGTGTATGTGTGTGTGTACTGTATGTGTGTGTGTGTGTGTGTGTGTGTGTGTGTGTGTGTGTGTGTGTCTTAAAAGCGTGTTTGGGTAATTGAAGGTCGTGTCAGTAAGTGGGTTGAAGACAGGTGTGTTAGAGGACTGTTGCAGGTGTGGCACAGGTGTTACAGGTGTGTTATAGGTGTGTTACAGGTGTGTTAAAGGACTCTTACAGATGTGGCACAGGTGTGTTACAGGTGTGTTATAGGTGTGTTATAGGTGTGTTAGAGGACTGTTGCAGGTGTGGCACAGGTGTTACAGGTGTGTTATAGGTGTGTTACAGGTGTGTTAGAGGACTGTTGCAGGTGTGGCACAGGTGTTACAGGTGTGTTATAGGTGTGTTACAGGTGTGGTACAGGTGTGATATAGGTGTGTTACAGGTGGTAAGTTTGTCCTGTTCACCTCTCTTCCTCAACTATCCCTCCCTCCAACCACACCTCTTCCCCTCCCTCCAACCACACCCTCTTTCCCTCCCTACAACCACACCCTCTCCCCCTCCCTCCAACCACACCCTCTTCCCCCTCCCTACAACCACACCCTCTTCCCTCCTCCAACCACATCCCCTCCTCCCTACAACCACACCTCTTTCCCTCTCTACAACCACACCCTCTTCCCCTCCCTCCAACTACATCCTCTTCCTCCTCCCTACAACCACACCCTCTTCCCCTCTCTACAACCACACCCTCTTCCCCTCCCTACAACCACACCCCTTCCCTCCCTACAACCACACTCTCTTCCCTCCCTACAACCACACCCTCTTCCCCTCCCTACAACCCACCTACAACCACACTCCCTCTCTACAACCACACCCTCTTCCCCTCCCTCCAACTACATCCTCTTCCTCCTCCCTACAACCACACCCTCTTTCCCCCTCTACAACCACACCCTCTTCCCCTCCCTACAACCACACCTCTTCTCCCTACAACCACACTCTTCCTCCCTACAACCACACCCTTCCCCTCCCTACAACCACACCTCTTCCCCCTCCCTCCAACCACATCCTCTTCCTCCTCTCTACAACCACACCCTCTTCCCCTCCCTCCAACCACACCCTCTTCCCCTCCCTACAACCACACTCTTCCCTCTCCCTCCAACCACACCCTCTTCCCCCTCCCTACAACCACACACCCTCTTCCCCCTTCCTCCAACCACACGCCCTTCCCCTCCCTACAACCACACCCCTTTTCTCCCTACAACCACACGCCCTCTTCCTCCCTACAACCACACCCTCTTCCCTCCCTCCAACCACCCTCCCCCTCCCCTCCAACCACATCCTCCTCCCTCCCCCTCCCTACAACCACACCCTCTTCCCCCTCCCTACAACCACACCCTTTTCCCCCTCCCTACAACCACACCCTCTTCCCCCTCCCTACAACCACACCCTCCTTCACCCCACCTACTCTCCCTGTGATACTTGAAATATGGTCACGGGATTAACTGGCTTGGTACACATTGCAAGAGCGTCGTCCATTGGTCTGGAAGTATTGCAGAGGAAGAGGAGGTGGAGGAGGGAAGAGGAAGAAAAAGAGGAAGAGAAATAGGAGGAAGGTGAAGAAAAGAGAAAGAGGAGGAAAAGGGGAGTAAAGAAGAGGAAGGTGAAGAAAAGGAGGAAGAGGAGGAAGGGTGGAAAACAGGTGTGGAAGGAGGGAGAAGGTAGTGGAGGCTTAAGACGAAGAGGAGGAGAGGGAAGAAGAAGAAGAAGAAGAAGAAGAACGGAAGGACGGGAAGAGAAGGGAGGAAGAAGAGGAGAAAGGAAGAGGAAGAGGAGAAGAATAAGGAAGAGAGAGACGACCTTCACGACCATCTTCTGCAGGTAATGGACAACAAGGGGCCACGTCACATGAACCTTCCCCCGGAGCTAAGTTATCCCGCTAACATAATTATACTCGTCTTACTCAACAATTACACCAACCCTTGATACATTTACGTGTAATAGACAAGTATTATATCTCTTGTTACTAGACTATGTGACGGCTGCCTAACCTGACCTAACCTAACCTAACCTAACCTGTCATGTGTTTTATCCACCACACAGAGTGCCGGGAGTAAGGGTCTATCCCCCCTGGCGCTGTGTGTACATCAACAGAAGACATCTCTTACCTCTCTCCTCCTCCCATTGCTTTTTCTTCCGTTCTAACAAAGAGAGATGTCGCGTGGCGGCCATCTTGTCTCCCGCTACACTCCCGCCGGTGCTGTGAGGCTGTTCCTGCTGTTGATGCTGCTGCTGCTGTTGTTGTCGCGGGCCGTGGGGGCGTGGCGGGTCATCCGGGCTGCCGAAAAGAATGTTCTGCAGTTGGGAACTATTGTGGCTAGATTTTACCGGGCCATTGGTGAAGTCTGTGTGAGGCAGAGATAAGTTACCCTCACCCTGGGGAGCCTGAGGTGTGTTGTGTACTCCAGGACCTACGGGACCAATACTCTGCTGGGGAGGTTCACTACTGCCGTCTACACTCTCACTATCAGGTTCAGGTCTAACACTGTCGTCACTCGTATAAGAAGAATTTATTTTCTTTAACACTTGAGTAGTTCTGCTAGCGGGTAGTCTCGTGCGGCCTGGACGATGATTGACGCCCACACCGGGGGTCTCTGCCCCCCCAGTACGCCCCTTTTGTTGTTTTGATCCACCAGTTAAGGTTTCTTCTTGGTGGCTGAGAGGTCCTGAGGACGGAGCGTCTTCAGGGGGTCGCCCAGACTGTGGTGAAGGGCGGCGCAGGGGCTGAGAGCCTTTCCCGAAAGCTTCGTCAAAGAAAGTGTAGTCTGGAAAAAAGAAAGTGAGAATTACTATCGTGAAAATAACAACACTGGAACAAATACTATGCAACACAGACAGAGAGAGAGACAGACACCGTCCCAGCACCCAGACCACCCAATAACTCTCCCCCCTTGTTGACGAACGATGTCTCATACACCACCTCCCTTACTAACCCACTTCCTCACTTAACCCACTCCCTCGCTAACCCACGCCCCCACTTAACCCACTCCCTCACATCCACAAATCTGTTTCCTGGACAATATAGAGACGTAAGGGTGGGGAGTCACCACCGTCATCACCAATATTGCTGTGTGTGTGTGTGTGTGTGTGTGTGTGTGTGCGCGCGCGCGCGCGCGTGTGTGTGTGTGTGTGTGTGTTTGGTGAGCGGACGCTTGGTTTGGGACAGGGTGGGTAGGACCTAACCAAACCAAACCAAACCTAACCTAACCTAACCTAACCTAACCTAACCTAACCTAACCTCATCGTGACCCAAACACCCACACTCTCGCACCACCAATGCCACTGCCACCACTATCAATCTCCAACACCCCTCCCCCTCCCCCCCACCACCACTATGCAACCTCCCCTATGAACCCTGGGCATCCTACATATCAACACCTAGGATAGGAGAAAATGATTGTGATATTTGAGGTGCTTCGCGGTCGCCACTAAAGCGCCCTCATGATACCGGACGCAGAAACAGTCCTGGTATGAATGCCTGGAAAGGATCTCATTTACCACACAGGAACATTGTGTGTGAAATGGGTACCTCTCATGTGTACCTTGGAGCTACGAAGGAACTCAGTACCTGTGTGTGTGGAGTGTATTTGGTGCTATATATTATGTGTTGGTGCTATTGAGTATTTTTAGGTGATATTGTAGGAAAGAATGACCTAGGTAAGGAGGTCAATGATTTGGTATGAAGAGAGAATACCTTAATTAATTATTTGGAGAAGGTCGGGTATTTTGTGTGTGGTGCAGTGACCTCATTAATTATTTGGAGAAGGTCGGGTATTTTTGCATTGTGACTGAATGCAATATTGTTTTTATTCGGAAATAAATTAGTTAAGTCGTGGTTGGTGCTTCACCCTTCGTTCCACTCTCAACTTGATGAATGAAAAACACGAACTCACTGTCCATGTGGTCTGGTGGCAGCGACCTTAGGTTAAGTAGTAAGTTAAGTTCACCCCTTAGGATTAGTGACCACATTAATGGGCACCACCATCATTCTCCATCACCAGCACTCCCCACCAACACCACTCCCCATCACCAGCACTCCCCACCACCAGCACTCCCCACCACAACCACTCCCCATCACCACCACTCCCAATCACCACCACTCCCCACCACCACCACTTCCAACCACCCTTCCCCATCCCTCCCCATCCCACTCCCCATCACCACCCCTCCACCACCTCCCCCCATCCCACCACTCCCACCACCACCACCATCCACCACCACTCCACCATCCACCCCCACCCCCCACCACCACTCCCCCATCACCACCACCCCATCACCACCCCCCCACCTCCCCCACCACCACTCCCCATCACCACCCCATCCCCCATCCCACCACCCCACCACCCCCCCCACCACCACCACCATTCCACCCCCATCACCACCTCCCCACCACCACCACTTCCCACCACCACCACTCCCCACTCCCCTCCCCCCCCCACCACTCCCCACCACCACCACCCCCATCCCCACCACCTCCCTCCCACCACCACCACTCCCCACCACCCCACCACCACCCCACCACCACCACCCCCCACCCCTCCCATCACCACCCTTCCCACCACTCCCACCACCACTCCCCACTCCCCACCCCACCTCCCCATCACCACCCACCCCACACCACCACTCACCACTCCCCCATCCACCACCACCACCACCACCACCCCCACCACCACTCCCCACCACCACTCCCATCACCACCACCCTCACCACCCCATCCTCCCACCACCCCCCCACCACCACCCCACCACCATCCCCACCACCACTCCACCACCACTCTCCACCACCACTCCCCCACCACCACCACTCCCCACCACCACTCCCCATCCACCACCACTCCCCATCACCACCTCCCCACCACCACATTCATTTCCATCACCTGCCTTCTCTTTCCACTACCCTCCCCCTCCTCCCCTCCTCCTACCCCTCGTGTTCCGGGAAGACCCTGGCCTTTATTATGACATAGTGTTATGGTGGGAGTCTGTGTGTGTGTGTGTGTGTGTGTGTGTGTGTGTGTGTGTGTGTGTGTGTGTGTGTGTGTGTGTGTGTATGTGTGTGTGTCACCTGGTATTGGTTAAACGATACAAATAAGAAAATTAAAATATGAATTAAGAAAGTTTTAACCGACTAGTCTTCCACTCTCTCGTCCCCAGAAGAAAGCAGAAAATATTTACGGAAAATTTTTAATTCGTTTGATGTGAAGGAATCTCCACCTTAGCTTATGTCACTTTAAGATTAGCCATCCTAATACTATTTGGGTTAGGTTAAGTTAGGTTAGTGTTTGAGCGGGGTAGGTTAGGTTAGTGTTAGAGCGGGTTAGGTTGTTAGGTTAGTGTTAGAGCGGGTTAGGTTGTTAGTGTTAGTGGTTAGGTTGGTTGAGTGTTAGAGCAGGTTAGGTTAGGTTAGTGTTAGGTTAGTTAGGTTAGTGTTAGAGCGGGTTAGGTTGGGTTAGTGTTTGGGCGGGTTAGTTAGTATTAGAGCGGGTTAGGTTGGGTTAGTGTTTGGGCAGGTTAGGTTAGGTTAGTGTTAGAGCGGGTTAGGTTAGTGTTAGAGCGGGTTAGGTTGGGTTAGTGTTAGAGCGGGTTAGGTTAGGTTAGTGTTAGAGCGGGTTAGGTTGGGTTAGTGTTTGGGCGGGTTAGGTTAGGTTCAATTAATTTTATGCTGGAATTGATCACTTGAATAATGTTACTGTATCACGTTAGGTTAGGTTAGTTCATATCAGGTTAAGTTAATATCTCGCTCTTTTGACGAATATGGTTTAACCCTTTGATAGCGATGATTTAACCCTTTAACGAGTAAGGCAATATTTGGATGTTATTCCATAATTTGCATACAGATTAAGAGATTTTTTTACGCTTGATGAGGTGATTGGTGGAGGGTGTTCAGTCCTTGCAATAAAAGAGATAAAGGAATCTCTCTCTCTCTCTCTCTCTCTCTCTCTCTCTCTCTCTCTCACACACCAAAGACTGGAGAACTACCATCCCGATCAATAAATGAATGGAGGATGTGGGAGAAGCCGCCGAGTCACTCTGAACAACTAGAGCCTGACACGGGGCTATATTACTACATATGACTAAGCCCGACCCGACTCGACCCGACCTAACCTGACCTGACCTGACCTGACCTAACCTGACCTGACCTGACCTGAACTGACCTGACCTGACCTAACCTTTTCTTTTATTTTAATTCACAAAAAAAATCGATGTGAAAAAGTTGAATAATATCGAAATCAAGTGTAGGAAATACGTTCAATAAATAACAAACTCCCTGCTGTTATGATGTTGACCGAAGTTATTGTGAACGATGTGCTTAGGTTAGGTTAGGTTAGGTTAGGTTATGTAATTAAACGCAAATAGTTAATCCATTAACTTTTACAGATATCCGTTAATTGCTGTAAAAGAATAAATAATTAAAACAGCAACAAATCCATGTGTGTGTGTGTGTGTGCATATATATGTATGTGTGCATATGTGTGTGTATTTATTTATGTATGTAAGTGTGTGTGTGTGTGTGTGTATGTGCATATATGTGTATGTGTGTGTATTTATGTATGTATGTATGTGTCTGTGTGTGTGTGTTGACCACTTTTTCGTTAGGAAGTATTCTTGGACACACACACACACACACACACACACACACACACACACACACACACACACACACACACATACACACACACTGCTACTACTTTGCTGTCAGTCGAAACAGAGTATGACGATCATCCAGCTATAATACAATGACATGAGTTATTAGGGATGTCATCTAGATTAGACAGTTTTGAGGTGACTACAGAGGCCGATACGGGACCCACAGCGTCGTCTACATTCGTTGCACATGTGGAGGGCTCCTTCTACTGTGGGAGCGGCGGTGGCAGCGTCTTTCTGACTTTGGTGCTTGTCTGCCTCAGTTTGAAGTTGGTGTCAGCAAGAAGACTGGCAGTTATTCTCTTGTCTTCCCAGCGAACTCGAAGGATGGAACGTAGACGACGTTGGTGAAAGTGCCTTGAGGTGCCTCCTGTATGTGACCCATGTCTCACTGCCATATAGTAGGGTGGGCAGGACCACTGCTCGATATACGTGCAGCTTTGTGGAAAATTTCAGCTCCCTACAGCTGAAGACACGATTTCGGAGTCCGCCCAAGGCTTGAGATGCACATCTGATTCGATGATGAATCTCTTCATCGATGTTTGCGGTAGTGGGCAGGTGGGAGGCGAGATACTGAAAGTGGGTAACATTAGAGAGGGTAGTACCGTTAAACTGGATGGATGGTGGAGGTGTGTCTGAATCAGGGGCAGGTTGAAAGAGAATCTGAGTCTTACGTACATTCACCTCAAGGCCGAAGTGTGCATACGCGTCTGCAAAGGTGTTCAGGATCTCCTGTAAGTCGTGTTCAGTGTGAGCAGCAAGGGTGAGGTCGTCTGCATACTGGAGCTCAGTAATGAAAGCTGCCGACACCTTTGTTCCTGCCTGGAGTCGTCTTATGTTGTAAAGACCCCCCTTCACCCGGTACTCGATGTTCACCCCGCTGGCTAAATTGGCACTGGCACGAGTTAGGAAGGCAGCCAAGAAAATGGAAAAGAGAGTTGGTGCCAGTACATACCCTTGTTTAACCCCTGTTTGGATGGGGAAGAACGCTGACTGGGTGCCGTTGTGCAGGACAATGCCGTTCGTGCCATCGTGGAGTTGCCTCACAATGGCGATGAATTTGGGTGGGCAGCCAAAACGGCTGAGGGTCCACCAGAGGGCTTCCCTGTTGACCGAGTCGAAGGAGGAATCTTGCCAGCTACGGACAGCAGCGAGATCCCGCGATAGTTGCCACAGTCTGACCGGTCTCCCTTGTTCTTATAAATATGACAATGGAGGCGTCTTTAAGAGCTTGGGGGATTTCCTCTTTTTCCCATATATTCTCCAGGAGAG